GTGGCGTTTTTGTTGTCAGTTTCTATCCAGATTGCCTGAGTGAATGTCTGAAGGTGTAGGCACCTCGGAATGATTGTGTTAAGCTAGCACTAAGTCCCTCCCCCGTCCACCTTTGCTCTTTTCTTTACAATAAGGCTTTTAAATTAGCCATGGTTGTACGACAGTGAAGTATCGGTGTTGAACATTGATTCCATGCTTTCGATGATGATGATGATGATGACATAAAGTCAGCCAGCTTGTGAATCGCCAACCTCGGTGAATAGATCAGCGGCCACCTGACTGACAAACGACAGCTGTGAGGAGAGTAGTACGCCCGACTGTTTGCGTTGATTATGAAAGTGCTACAGGCGTTGATTTGAGGCAGCTCAAATACCTGGCAGATTTACATTTTTTTCAATAAGTCTGGGCCATTTTAACTGTATGCTTAGCCTTTACATATCAAGCCAAAACACGACCTGTGTATTTCGAGCAGCATGGCATTTTTATCGATCCATCCTGTTAAATTTATTATCATATTGGAATAAATCCCCTCGAACCAAATTCACACTTCTGTCTCCTGTGTTAGTATTCTTAACCATATTTGGTCCTTTTCCCTAAAGGAAACTACTCACAAGGTTACTGAAAACTCTTCGACAGCCCACGACAGGTTTCGCCCTTCTTGGGGTTCATCAGGTAGTCGCAGTTCCCGAGTTTCCGTCAACCTTATGATCTGGTCCTTTTCACGCGTTGCATTGGTTTCCGCGCTGCCTTTCTCCCTATTCCAATTAGTTTCCGACAGTCTTGTTTTCTCATGTGCTCAGCATACCAGATGGCATGATGAGAGCTCGATCAATTGGAAACGTTCACTGCATATTACTAATTCCCTGTTCATGCTTGGGACGAATTTAGCAGACGAATCGAAAAAAAGCATGTTTCCTTAAACAAGCACTGGGTAGTTTTCGGGAAAAGTAACTCTCTTTTGATAAACTGATTGGTCACGTTGCTTGAATTACACTCATATGGCTTTGATTTTCGTGTATCAGAGGACGGTTGGACTCACACAGTTCTATTCGCCCAGCCATGCTTCGGGTGCAGACGACCCAGGGGTAGTCGGCCTGTCCCTTAGCGACGAAGCATGAAGACTGTTAGTCATCAACTCAGTTGCGTAGGTAACTACCGTATTCCAAAATGGGCCGCCCTGAACAAGACAAAGCGATAGTTGATGACCTTGACAGATGTGGCTGTATCACATAAATTGCATCAAAGTTATGGATGTCTCTTCCTAGCTCTCTCACTCCCAGCCATACGGAATACACATTGATGAATCGCCTCTAATGAAAGGCCAATGATACCCTCGTTCTCCTGATCTGCGCTGAACGAAGCATTAGTGACTGAAGCTGAAAAACTAAAATGACCGACTACTGAGGGTACGTGACATCAAATTATTAAAAGGCTGTTAGAAGAAGCAACGGTATTGAAGCTATACCATATTTTTTTAGTTGCTTTCATCTTAATGCTCATATTTTCTAGTATCTAAGACTTGCAAATCATAGAAGTTTTCCACAAGTTTTGCGCTTTGACAAGCTTGGCTGCCCCTCGCTGAGTTATCAAACCCCCTAAAATGGATGTGCCATGGAATACCGTTTTCTGTAAAAAAAAAGTATGCTACTCAGATTGCTGTAATTTTATACACTCATTTCCCAAGGATATTGCATGCCACCAAATTACTAGTACACCTTTACTACTCCTCGTTTTTTGGTTGATCGCACGACATTTCCCTCATTAGTTGCATCAGAATTCCTCGCCAACCATTTAAGCGACCATGGTCACAAGCTAACTTGCACAGAATTCTGGTTGCAATTTTTTAGGGAAATTGCTTCTTTCCGATACAGCCAAATTTCAGCGAATTACAATGTTTCTTGAAACTGTGATAACTTAAATACTAGGCCAAGGTCCCGAGCTGATTGAAATCCGGGGTTAGTCGGCTCAAATTCACTATTTGGTCTGCTCAGAATGCAAGCAGATTTCAGCCAACTTTATCATACTAGTATTGAGCTATTCCCAATATCGGTACGAAAAAAACAAATGTTGTGCAACCAGTAGGGCATTAGGCTACACAGAAGCGACCCACTTCTGATCAATTGTAGTGGAGTTCGTAGCCCATCACCGTTGTCAACTTATTGTGAACCACAGTCCCTTAATGCCTTCTTATAACCATGAACCCCGGTCTGGATGGCCACTTAATGGCCTGGTGCGCTCGACCAAATCAGAAAAGTCAATGAACGTGCGAGCCAGATGTTCTATTGACCACTGTCGCGTACAAGCGGGTCAAAAAAGCGATACTAAGACTACGACCCATCCGTCAAGGGCGAGTGAAGAACAGCCAATGAAATCTGTCTCAACGAAAAACGGTTATTTCATTGACAGTTATGTAGCCTCGTTACATTTGGAGCTCGTTCTCCTGGTACCATCAAAGCTTGAGAAACTAAAGTCCACACTTGAATGCGTTTACCACCCACCAAATCATCAACCAAAATTGCCCGCAGTTCTGGCAATTTCAGCGATCGAAATTCTGTTTCTCCTCACCTTTTGCAGCTCCATGACTCAGTACGGAGGATACCGGTGGGTTGTCAAAGACATGTCAAGATGCGTTGAGCCAACTCTCAGTAACATAACCAGTGAAACTATAGACGTGCTTATAAGATGTAAGTGCTGGTTTTCATTCCACTTTTGCATCATTCATGCTTTAGCATCTCCACATAAGTAGTACGCTATACAAAGAGGGACGATCCTTCCTCTAGGTGATATTCCCTTCGGTGCGTAGGATGCCCTGCCTCTTGGATGACATGAAATATTTTCCACGACACTAAATGGGTGATGCTGACAGCTAGATAATGATATTTGGAACAGAATTCTTCTATCAGGTACAAAACGTAGCTATTGAATACCTTCGCTTCAGTAGATAAGATTGACTTTTTCTTACCAATTGAATTATAATAGACTTTCCCAGAACAGTCACCCATTAATGACATTCCGAGGAACATAAAGGCAAAAGCCTGTTTACGCGGGGACAAACAGCACGCCTGAAGCTGCGTCTCGGACATTGCATGTAAACGAATCGAATGACCGATATAGACTATTCATCGTGGTATATCAGCACTCGGATAACGCGATATCTGAGAGACTTTAGACTCACAGTAACCAGTTTGCATTAATAGAAGGCCAGGCAAATAACTATATGACTGGAATGCTTCTGACACCGATGCGCGCATGAGAGATTGAAAAAATACTCTCGAAGAACGGGTTGAAGCTGTGCGCTTCCTGACTCGTTCTGATTAGAGTGTGTGATGAGGAATGAAGCAATTTGACGGTTTCTCGAAGGGGAACCCGACTACACCGAATCGGGTCACTTTTTAGAGAGGTCGTGTTGAAGATTGGGGTAATCTGCGCATGGATTATTTCGAGGGAACAGTTTGGTCACTGATAGCTGATCGTCTGTAGGTATAAAAATTGATTTTGTGGTCTCGTCTGCCACCATTTTATGGAGAGTACATCTCAGGCTGTGCAATATTTGGATAGTAAATTTTGCCCCCGCCCACAATTCTTTTGGGGCGTTAGACTTTCAACGCACTGTATATGGGAGGCATTTTTGACGAACAGGATATTGGAAGATAGATAATCACTGGAGAGCGGGGGGTTATGTTTTGCGCAAAAACTCTACAGTTTGGGTGACAGCTGCTATCCAGTGACTGCTTTTTTAGGGCCAGCAAAGTTGTTCCTCTCTACAGTCACACCCCTGCTAGTTATATTTACTGCCTTCAAACTGCGAGTCTAAGCTTTCATAACCATGCAGCCCGTTCAGGTTAACAGTTCAGGCTGCGTCAAACTGCCTCAGTATATTTGCTATAAAGGTCCGACCACACTGGGTGGTAAGATATATTGTCGACCCTTGACTTGGCAGAAGAATATGAAGGAATCACGAACTTGCTTGGGTGCTGTCGGTGCCACTCGTCTGGAAGTTGTGGAGTGTTTTACGTATCTTGGAAGTTGTATTAGTTCTGATTGTAGTGTGACAGATGAGGTGAATGCACGAATCTGCAAGGCTCGGGCTGCGTTTGCTAACTTGAGACACCTATGGCGTCAGAATGGTTTATCCCTGAATCTGAAGGGACGTGTGTATCAAGCTACAGTACGGGCTGTTTTGTTGTATGGCTGTGAGACTTGGCCTATTCGAATCATGGTTGTACGACAGTGAAGTATCGGTGTTGAATACTGGTGTCATGCTGTCGATGATGATGATGAATAAGGTATGCGATGATGACCTTTAGTGGAATTCCAAAGGTGGGAATTACAACACGGTGCTTGTTCTTTATTATTTTTGAAAATTGTTATTTCATGGTTGAAAACAGATCGGCTGAGCATTGGAGAACCTGGGTGGTCAGTTCATAAGTCATGCCCATTCAGTATTTCCCGGACTCAGGGCTGTAGATCCACTAAGGCGATCGTTAAAGCATCAAACGGTGAAGTCTGTGGTCTTATTGTGACTAAACAAACGCTTTTAGCAACTTTCTACGGGTCTTGGAGAACAATTTTTGATCCGGTACCCTGGTGGTTTCGTCATAAGGTGCATAGTTAGGCAACCGGAGGGAAATACCAGACTTAAAATCTGCCTTACTTTTTGTGTTTGTTGGTTAGCCTTCAGGAATGGGAGGGCTGTTACCACGTAGGCAGTTGGTCAAGTAATCAACATCCTCTTCTCAGTGTGGGAATCGTCTGACAAAAAAGATATCGGCTTGTCAGTTTTGTCTGTTCTTGCTCCAGATCAGCTGCTCCCGACAGTAGTCTCTTTGTCCTTGCACGTGCATTACCTGCAGTTACATGGGATGCGTTCATTTGCACAAATATATTTGTGTAATTTCTTACCGGACAGAATTTTCCCGTCAAATCATGTACTTGAATGGAAGCAAATTATGACATAAACAGCTTCCATGTGTTCATCTGCACAGCTTAGAGATGTGTGTTGGAAGTCAGAGAGTTCGAAAGACGAAATCAGAACAGGTGGACCGAGCTCATCAGCGCAGAGTGAAATAACCAAAAGACAAGGTCAGAAATAAACTGGAAGCACGAACCGTCCAGAGCAGGAAAATCTGCGTGCTTCAAGGATCAATATAGTAGCCCTATGACTAAGAAACCTTCATAGTGGTTATTATGCGTGCCCTCCTAAGCACATTTTCCACGGACGAGTCAGCTGCGTTACTCATTCGTTTCTCCCATGCGTCTCATTCCATCACTTGATTTTGGCTCTGTACTGGTCGACCCAATACAGTGTTCTTGGACAGCCAAGAATGTTTCAACTTATTCTTGTAAAACAATCCAGTCTAATTTGATAAAAAGATTCTGATGACTTTAGACGATACACAGCGCCACGGACAGACCTATAAGTTGCACCTACGCATGTGACCTTCGTCTATGTCTTTCAAGCTCCCATTATCTAATGATCTGGTTTAACGGTGATACCACTGACAGGAAGGCACGCGAGTAGTATGTGTTGTTCGTAGCAGTTTGCTTTGCGTTTTTTGAAAAAGGGAGGTCTGTTGCGGAATTCGTGGAGCCACTTTGTAACATTTGCTTGGATTTGACCGATGAATGAGTGGAGTCAATGAATCTCCAGGAAAGTTCAAGAAGACGCGTTTGGGGGAAGATGGGTGTCCAGTTTTTGTAAATAAGATGCAAATTAGAGTTTTGCTTCCCTGTTCAATGGTCTGTAACCGGCCAGTTGGCATTTCTTAATAAATAACTCCGCAGCGAAGGCCTTCTTTCTTTCACTGGTACTAAGGTATGATATTGTTTTAGTTGGTTTGTCAAACCGTTTTTTATTGGTCGAATCCAGAGTTGTCCTTTCTCATACATGAACGCCGCCAGCCGTAATCACTGATTCGAAGGTAAAATTAGTCCGCCTGCTTTCCTGAAAATCTAGGGGAGTTGCCATCAGAAGAAGGTTATTCTTTATGAACATTGATCAGCTGACTCTGTTGCATAAAGATGCAAACAGATGTGATACTCGGTATCCATCCAATCAACAGTCAGTTTATACCAACAAAACGCAATCGGGTGGGAACCCTCGTGCATGCTGGATCCTTTCACCATAATTCAAAGTAAGGCAATGTGTACTGACTTCATGGAATAAACTGGTGTGTTGTGTGCTGATGGTGCCTCGAGACATTTTGAGTAAAAAGAGATAGGTACGGGGGTGAAAGAATATTCCAAGTGCTTACTACCGACAAAAGTTAGTTGTCCATTGAGTCCATACAGTCTATAGACAACAGTGAAGCCTCGGCCAAATAAAGAGCACAGAATTGGTAACCTTCACCAATAGCTTAATCACTGGACTACTAGGGGTATTGTCCCAAGGATATCTTCTTGGGTCTGAAGTATCTTTTTTGGGATTTGTCCTGAGTGTCAGTGCTGAAAATCCGAGAAGAACCGAACAGCTGTTTCATCTGCAGTACGCACCTCACGAAATTCAGAGTTCCATAGCCGTGAACTTCCAGCCAGTAGTTAAAAACGGTACGGGCGTCTGATCAGTTGTGGGATTAGCTCGTAACCACATGATGTGGATCCAGTGGTTGAGGGTTGAGTGGTACTACTCCGCGTCGAAGTGAAGCTAATCAGCTGACCAGCCGCTCGTGACCGAAAGGTCAAATATTCCGACTGTTAGCCAAGAAGGCTCACATCCAAGACTCCCCCGGGTTTCGTAAGATGAACACTGACGATGAGTCCCAATAGGGATGAGTCAGCTGTACGGTGCTTCTCAACTTTTAAGCGTAATTCAGTTCCACTTACAGGATTATGCTGACATATCAAAGGTCTTAGAGTGTGCTTCCTGTGGTGTAGGAACTTACGGTACATGGCAGGCAGCCTTTACTGTTGTCCTGGGAAGTATGAAGACCTTGATGGTTTCAGCTAAGAGCCGCTAGTTCCGGTTGCCAGGGTGTCAGATTGTTTTCGGTGCTAACTCAAGGATACTAATACGTGTTTTTCTCATTGTAATATTGTACTATTGTACTATTTTTAATTCTAACTTGGTTTGTCTGATTTATGTCCATTACATATGTACATCTACTAATAACTTGCCCTTAAACTCTGGATTTCGGATTGTTGGGCCTACAACGGTGCTGGAGATGACTTTCCAACCACTGTTGTGCAGACCAAGCTGGAAAATGGTTTGCATTAGCAGGCTATACGTATGTGCTTTGGAAGCGTCCATCCGCAATCACTCCACATTCAACGGGAGCTTATGCTGTTCATTTGTTGGTTGAAACTCTGTCTCAACAAGCGGACATTCTGACACATTCAAACGACCTGTTCGCCCTCCCATCTTGTTCCTTCGGTTTATACGGAGAAGGAACATGCGGCCGAGTGCAAAGCGTGTAGTGTGGACCCACACACACGCAGCTTGAGGGTTAGATAAATCAAAAAACGGATACCAGCCCACCACTGTATCTGAGTACGTGCACTAAAGTCAGATGCAGTGGGTAGCTGAAGTCGGTTTCAGTCTTGTCAACCTATGGAGATTCTAACAGATTCTATAACAAGTCTTAGTGTACTATGGCAGTTCATGGAGATTGCCACATTTGACAACGAGCGGGCAAAGGAACCGGGATTTCTAAAGCCTAGAACTTGAATCTGCAAACAAAATGGATGAGTTATCCTACATGAAAAGAGCAGTAGCGACAACAATGTATCTTTGACTTCATACGCATAACTTTTGGGAACTACTACTTCTCAAATAAGGAAGAAATAAGAAGAACTAGGCGATGCCTCATCGTAGAGTGCGGTCTAATTAATACTGTATTTAGGCAAACGTCACCCGCTACATGAACAACAGCAATGCATGACCACTTTGATCAGTTCGCTGAAGTACCTGCAGGAATGTTTTCGGTCCGGTTGTTTCTGAAATCATCCACCACCCCCTCTATGTTTGAATCACAGAATCCACCTTGGTTGTGTTGTTGCAGCTCCCATCAAATGCCAGCTGCTCATCTTTGCCATGTTCGGTGTACTGTACGAAAATGTTTCAACGGTGCTCGGTGGGAAAAAGCCGGCCGACTATGTACTGGACATGCTCACCGAACACTGCTTGAAGTTGTCTCGCGAGGAATTCGAAGCCGCGTTTTCAGAAGTCACAGGCTTGTCAAACTACCTTCTCGAACTGACTACAACCGATTATCTTCAGTCCAACGACGGTAAACGGTATGTCCCGGATTTTGGTGAATTGTCTATTCAGAGTGATAATTTGCACACCGGTGACTCTAACGGCGGTTTAGATGGTGACCATCTCAGCAACAGATGGCAAGATAGCTCAGTGGTAAGAGCACGAATTTACTGACCGGAAGGTCCGTGGCTCGAAACCAATGTCTGTCTGTCTGTCGACGTTCTCTGTCTAGGCTTGGGCAACACGGCAGTATCCTAGTCCTCGAGCTTCCTTCGCGTGGCATGGCAGTTAGGCACTGAAAGGGTGTTACACCTAGACGATGTTTTATGAAAATTTCAGTGGCTTTCTTTACCTAGCTCCACAGTACCAACGACAGATCCGTTTTCCCAACTATCTGAACAAAAGATAACATTGTTGATACGCTCAACACGAGAAATAAATTGATTACCGGCTCTTTGGAAAACAATTTCCCCTTATAAGCGGCGCCTAAATTTTCCGCGTCTGTGACCGCGAGTGATTTGCTATCTCCCATTCCAGCACAGCACCAAACCGATTTGAATTCACGTGCAAGTAGCCTCTCTCTCCCTAGAACTGATAACACTAGATTGTTTCCGATTGGCTGCGGGACTTTACTCTACAGTTAAGATGAATCTCACTTAATGCTTCTGTGGACTTTTCTTCCATAGTTTTCTATACATGAGATAAAATAATAATAAGACAATCGTTCAGCCGTACCACTCTTGTAGTGCTTAACTGCCATGCTGCGCGAAGGAAGCAAGCCTAGACAGGGGAAGTCTAGAGGCAGAGACCGGGTTCGAACGACGGAACTTCCGGTCAGTAAATTCGCGCTCTAACCACTCCTGCCATAACACCCCTTTCCTATACACACAGGTAGTTATTCTAAAAGCTAAAATGCTCTTTCCAAATCCATATGATTCACAATCAATAACAGAGTTAGCAGTAGTATGGTTTGTCCTAGACGTGCTTTGCATTTTTCTTTAAAAAAGCGCGAGAAAATGTATCTGAAATTTGTTCACTATCGGCGTGTCTATAGTTATACAATGATCGTTACCGATACATCTGAGAAGGATCTTTTAAAAAAGATGACATTGCATGTTTGCTATTCTGAGGGATTTATTCCCTTGACCAAAAGCGATCATTCCAGGAATACCAATGAACTGTGACGAAAATTCTACTTGATTATTGTATATCTTTGTAATGTGCTACTCATAAGGTTGCTGAAAATCCGTCGACAGCGCACGACCGGTTTCGCCCTGAGAACATCACAAACGAGAGATTCAGCTGGGTTCCAGATGTGTCTCTCGAAAAACTAGTTTCGTGCAATTTGGTTTCAAGTAGAACATAAGGTTGACGGAAACCCGGGGACTGCGCCTACCTGGTGAGTCTCAAGAAGGGCGATACTGGGCGTGAGCTGCCGACGGATTTTCAGCAACCTTATGAGTAGTACTTTACAAAGATATACATGCATGGCGATATCTTGAATATCGTAGCCACTGAAACATGAGGCGACTTGGTGCAGCACATTCAGTTGCCGGAGAACATCACAAACAAGAGATTCAGCTGGGTTCCAGGTGCGTCTCTCGAAAAACCAAATTAGTTTGAAAATGAGTGTATATTCACTCTACTTGCTTCAGTTTATAATGAGTAACGCGGAACGTCTAAAAATTCTTCAACTGTGGCACAAAGGTGGATGAGTCACGACTGACCCCGCGGAGTCACTGAACATGAACGATCGCTGACTGGCGTCATGTTTTGAGAGTAGTAAGGAAACGTCACTTGGGGTTTCATCAATTGAACAAAACTGTCATCTCATTTGGGGGTCATCAACTGTGGATTTTTTCAAACAAATTCGAAACGGCAAGGTTTCAACTTGTGGTTGAAGAGTGAGTGACAAATCAGTTACATAGTTACCCCCTACTAAGGCGGGATATGACACTACCCTCATCTCTTTAGTTCAGTTCATGTCACGTAGTCCGATACTGACTGGTGAAGGATTCAGCTGGAGAGAATAGTCACCTAACAGTTGGCTGTGTGATTTCTTCAGATGGTTGGCTACTAACAAGATTGCAGTCCCCCCGGAACGTTATAGACAATCTACTGATCATGAAGTCACCGGAATTTTATGCGTTTGAAATTCCAATGAAATGCTGAGTTTTTTATAGACCAGCTGATCAAGGTATACTTACATAACGTCACTGTGGGATACAGGTGAGAGATAAGCTGTTTCACTGATGCTCGTTGCGCAAACCATTGGTGCTGATAACAGGGGACTGAGTTACAACACAATACCTCCCTTTTTGAGCAACTGTCCATTTTGGTGGGTCTGCGTCTGTGACCAGAGAGAACCTGATCACTGCATCCGAGCTAGTTAACTGGATGAAGGGACATCCACAGATAGGATGGCACTTCAGGGATTTCAGTAGTATGTGCCCCTGTCACTCATGTGGAATCTTGGGCTTGTTATTCAGACTACATTCAGATGTGGACTTTTCAGAAAAGTTTTCACTCTCATGCGCCCATGTCAACTCGCCAACATAAATACTTGGCAGCTTAACCAATACTTTACGATCAAGACCATCGCGGAAACTCGGATTGCAATAGACAGGTTTATGGAGTATGGACTCTTCGACTCTGACGTATAGTTCTGACTCAACTTGTTCTTCAACTATTTTTCACACCCCACTTAAGGTATCTGAAGCAACTGACGAGGATCCTTCAACTTTACACAAACTATTTGGTGAACTATCACGGCCACTTGGCAAGGTTCTCAATGTTCGAATCCAATTTCTTTGTTCTACAAATTCCGCGAGACTATCGACCGCACAAAAGCTCCGTGAGTTGAAATACACATTACGCCTCGAAATAACTCAGGTCGAGTGGAGGGTAGTTCTTTGAACGCAATAGTGTGGCAACATTACGGTAGGAATAAAATACAATTGTCATCGATCAATGGTAGATCCAACATAGCTCAGAATAGTGCATTTCAGGAATTTAAGCTGTCAGACACAGGTTTAAAAAACAACACGCCGTTTCCCGCTTTAACAGTGCACAGAATAGAATAAGATTTGACATTTCAATCCAGGTATTGCCAGCTCAGATGTAGTCACTCGCTAAACTATTACGACAGAGACTGAAACCACCGATAAGATGACAAGAAAGTCAACCGATGGCAGCACCATCCTGTTTAAATGACAGCCCTCATTCATATGCATTCACGGCGGTGTGGTCTTTGTGCTACATACCGCACGGATATCAGCTTGTCGGTTACTCTGTATTGGATAGACACTGTTCATGTTAGGGGGAACATCAAAGCTACGTTTTCAACCTTGACATAGCGACAGATACAACGCCAAGACTCCCGATTAATTGGTTAGGCCTCGCTGCAGTGGTTCCTGTCTAGTATGGTAGATTGGTCAATTTTGAGCTCCCTCAACGCTGTGATGACGACAGAAGAAACATGTTTAGGAGGATGCCGAACGGCATACTCACAACAGGTCTTTCAATTTGAAACGGGTTTAAAACAGGCGTGGTAAAGCTTAGTGATGCAGCAAGCATACTGCGTAATGTCTAAAAAGATTCTGAAGAAAATGCAGATTTCTTACAAGGCGGGCCTGTGAAAAACGTTCTTTTTATTCCGCCCTGAACACCTTCAATCGTTTTCATCCGACAACAACATCGGAGTTGAAAACATACCAGGAACATTCCGCTGCACCGCCCAATCATTCAGTTGAGGAAACAAAGCAAAGTAATTATCCTAATTTTTCATTCTCATACCCTTTAAAATTCCTTTTCTTGTCACTCAAAAGAAACCGGAAGCATGAATCCATTGGTCTAGTTGTGGCAGTTCACTCAAAACATGCTATACGTTTGACCCACGGGCTGACACCCTGAATGAGTTGTGTTCATCGAAATGTCAGACATTCCTCCACATAAGAGATAAACCAGAAATTCCATCGGTTGACTAGATCACATTTGCCGTCGACACACATTTTTACAACCGTCGACTGTTTCAGCGTTTAAAGTAGAACTGTTGTGCAAATTCTTCCTTTGAATGTCAATCAGGCCCAAATCAGCGGCTTCTGTCTGCGATTCGTGGTACTGAAAAGGTAGTGTGACGGCGAAATACACTCATTTGCAAATGAATTTGGTTTTGCGGGAGGCTTACCTGGAACCCGGCTGACTCTATCGTTTGTCATGTCTCCAGGCAACTGAATGTGCTGCACCAGGCCGCCTCATGTTTCAGTTACTACGATATTCGAAACAACACAAACGAGAGATTCAACTGGGTTTCAGGTGGGTCTCTCGCGAAACCAAATTTGTTTGCAAGTGGATGTATTTCGTCGCTTTGATGCAATTTGGTTTCAGGCAGGACATAAGGTTAACGGAAACATGAGGACTGCGCCTACCTGAAGAGCCCCAAGAAGGGCGAAACCGGTCATGGGCTGTCGAAGAATTTTCAGCGACCTTACTAGTAGTGCATTACGTAGTCTGACAGCGTTTACCGCACACACACACACACAACTGTAGACAGCGTGACACTGAGAACAGCGGAGCACACACCAAGCGTTTCCACATTCACAGCTTATGACGAAGCTAACGAATGCTCTGATCCATGATATTGGGTATGAAATGGTATTTGCGCGTGAAACGGATTTCATCTGGTCCAGTTTCCGAACATCCTTTTCGTGAGTAAGGCAAAAAAAATCTTTAGAAGAAAGGCAATGCATTATTTTCTGTTGAATTGCTTCGCTAATATTTTCAGTTCCTCCAAAATTGCCATATTTTTAGTTGTAACAGTGCCGAGGGTATCACCTGAAGGCTTCGTCAACAAGTCAACGTTCTTTCTGCGCGTGTTCCGCTGGTGACTCAGCTGATCGATGCCAATGGTAGCAGACTCACAGCGGTCTGGATTATAGACTCATCTCGGAGTAATTTTGGAGCACATGACAAGATAGCTATGTTGATTTCTTCGGAGATGTCCGTTTGACTTGACCTACATATTGTGCCATTTGCAGTTTTGTTATCCGTACCGGTCATCGCGACTTTAGTCCGGTATGAACCAATGTCCATCCTGTCAGGTGTTATTTTATACCGCTAGACACCAAACTCAGAACTTGGTGGTTGAGTAGGGTAAATAAAATCACTTGTCAAACGAACTACGAATCATTTGAAGCTGAATGTGGCTATTCGGAGCAGCTCAAAAATCATTTTAGCGCAAAAAATGTGGTCATTATTTATTTATTTATTATTTTATTTAGTTTAATTCAATTTAATTTTTTATTTCCCCCTGAAGTGCGAAAGTTTTCATATCGAGTCACAGCTTACATTTTCCATGGTTAGTACACGTGTTTTTGTTGAGCCTGAGGAAGGACAGAAGGGTTTCCTGAAAACCTGTGAGCAGTCAGTTACGTAACTGCAAACTGTTTATCATCCATGTAACTAACGGATTTATACACACAAGGTCAGGATACACTGTCACACTCTGTGAGGATACTACGGAGAGAATGAATAGAATAAGTAATGCAGACGCACACACGTTTAAATTCTGGTTTTGTCAGATCTTCCCCGACTTTCGAATTGAACTGGATAAAGATCACCCTACGACTCTGGTCGCTTGTACAAGGATGTTTCGATACGTGGATCTCGTGTACCATGGTAACCGAATAATTCATGGACTTTGCCTCGTGAAGATTAGATCAACCATGGTAAGTCGAACAACAGTGGTTAGCTTTGTTCTTCGATCGTCTATTATTTTTCATACTTTTATAAACTTACTTTTCAAAGTCAATAATCATTCTCACCATAATCGAAACTCGGAGTCCTCCTTTGTAGCTTTTAACATGGTTTGAACTGAATCACAAGCAGCTAAAGGTTTTTCTCCGGTCTAAATTCACTTTGGTTCCATTCAGGTCTCATTTTTTGACTGCCGGAGCAGGCGCAGATAAATCGGAAAAGAATTTTTGTAGAATCAGTAGTACCCTAATTTTGGATTAAAGCTGAGAGAGGTGTTATGCAAATGAACCTCTTGATTGGCAGTCTGTCGAATTATTGGTAGCTCGGGTGCGTTTATTGGTTGTTGATCCGGTGCCTTTTGATTGGGTCACCGAGCTTGGTAACAACTGACTTGCAAACGTTTCGTCATTAAACGAGGAGACATCATCAGTGCCGAGTTGGTTGGTGAGTGTGCATATCTCCCCGTCTGTTGACGAAATAGCTACAATCAAACTGCCCAGCTCGATGAACAGTCAACAGCCACCTGATCAGCACTTCCATATACATCAGTGTAAAATCACCGGAAATAGCCGCTTGTCTGTTTAGCTGGATAAAAGCGAAGACGTATTGCATCTCGGCGCTAAAGGCGCAAAGACAGCACGAAGGAGATTCGAAAGTACCCTTAACTTCCGTGATTTTATATGCTGGTCAGTCCTCATCCTCTTGCTCCTGCTGTGTGGAAGTTTCTCAAGTAGACTTGTTTGTTTTTCTGCTTGTTTTTCTGCTCCAGGCTACGCAACTGAACTGACCGCAGTTCTCGCCCAAGTGGTTAACTTACCAGACTTTATACTGCAACCTACTGCGGAGATTATCCAGTTTTCATCAGGTCTTTTGGCATGTTTTGTTATTCCTTACTATCTACTGCGTGGACAGTGAAGAGGCATGTAGGATCAAATGAATGAAAGGAACCCTAGTAGGATCAATGCGGGGCGATGTTGTTTTCGTCAACGAACACAAATGAGATGCGGAAATTTTTTAGCAAGGTCAGGGCCTAACGAACAATTCAAGCCTTTGTAATGTTTCACTGAGACTTCATTTTCTGTCTGTTGTAGCCAAGTTAGACGCAGCGCTCTATCTTTTGTTCAGCTGCAATATAGCCGATCTTCATCTGGTGTCCTTTGTCACCTTGAGGTTTTCCCACTCAAGTAACTAGACTATCAACGTGGCAGAATAAATTGCAACGAGCTCCTAAATAACCCAACTAGAACGACACAACACAACACTGGCGACGGGTTTCTCACGATGTCGATTTCAGCTGATCAACTCCAGTTGGTTTTGGAACACTAGAAAAAGCGCTTGCACTGCCATCATGTGACTTACTGTAGGGTGCCGTTTCCCCGTTCTCTTGCTTACAATTACAAGTGTAACAGTGATACTACTGATGGAGAGTCACGCGAGTAGTATGTGTTGTTTGTAGGATTCCTTTTTGCGTCTATTGGAAAAGGGAGATCTGTTACGGAATTCGTGGAGCAACTTTGTAACATTTGCTTGGATTTGACCGTCGAGTGAGTGGAGTCAATGAATCTCCAGGAAAGTTCAAGTAGACTCGTTCGGGAGAAGATCGGTGTCCAGTTTTTGTAACTAAGATGCAGGTTAGAGTTTTGCTTCCCTGTTCAATGGTCTGTAGCCGGCCAGTTGTCATTTCTTAATAAATAACTCCCCAGCGAATGTCTTCTTCCTTTCATTGGTACACTGTCTTGAGCTGGAAAACACTACTCACGAGGTTGCTGAAACCTCTTCGATAGCCCACGAGTAACCTCAATCTTCTTGATGCTTACCACGTAGACACACCTCTGGAGCCTGCGTCAACTTTATGTTCTAATAGAAGCCAAACTGGACATCATTCCCCACATACGTTCAATGATACACTGATTTGGCTTCAACGGTAGGCTCAACCGGATCCAAGATGAATCTGTCGTTCCTGTTGTTCTCGCTCAAATAAGTGTACTGTGATTTCCGTCCATTTCGGGTTCATTTAGAACATAACGTTACGGAAACGAGAGGACTTCACGTACCTGATGAGGTGAGCCGGAAGGTGGGCAAAACCGATTGTGGGCTGTTGAAGAGTTTTCATCTGCTTTAAGAGTAGTGTTCCTTCAACAAAATATACTCCAGTCTCTCGAATATCGTGTCAAGCAAAATATGTGCATCACGCTCAATCTTGGAAAAATCATGAGTGAGAGATTCAACTGGGATTTGGGTAAGTCAACCTTAAAACCAAATTGGTGTGCACTTAAGTTCACTTGGTTGGACCGAAGGAGGGTAAAGGTCCATCTACTACTCATACTATCGAATCCTCTACCGAGGATTTCAATAAGCTCGTATTAGTTCAGAAGAAGAGTAAAAAGTTGGTTTCAAGGCTTTTTTCAAAAGAAGAGTAAAAAGTTGGTTTCAAGGTTTTTTTGTACCCGAGCTCTGATTTTTCCAAAATATATGGTGAACCAAACTGGAACCTTTGAATTTTCTACACTTTACCTTATTTGGGAAACTAGCTTCCATATATGGAGATTAAGGAGTCATCCTCTGTATGTTTTAGACTTTCTTTACAATCGCTTTAACTTGTTTATAGAAACATCGCTATCGAATTCGGTTCGTCAATGCTCAGCAAACACAAATCGAACATCACTGGTGCATGTGGACAACTAATATTGATCGTGACTCCGAGAGACTGTCTGAACCAGATCGCTGTGTTCTTGAAAGTCGCGCAATGGGAGACCTCGTGTGTGCCTGTGAAGAGGAGGGGATAGTGAGCCTAGTTCGGGTAAGTGACAACTTACTGAGATGGTTGTCTTTATCGTCAGACAAAGACATGCATTAGTTAGACGCGGGTATTCGACGAACTCATTGTTCCCGTTGACAGTGATGATGTCAGCTGTATGTGCTGAAGTGAAGAGTGCGGCTGTGTGAAGTGTCGAAGATTCCAAAATCTTATCGTTTTTTACGGATCACGTGAACATGACGTGAAAGTTTATGCGCCTCCCCAGGCAACACTTGTGCAGGGAAGAAGACAGTCCTTTAGGCTTCAGGATTTACTTTCATCGTATAAGTAGTCCGTCAAAGGTAGATGGCGTGCTGTGAACTGAACCGATGAAGACTGCATGGTGAAACTAAGAGTATAATTGACAGGTAACTAATCAGTCTAAATGAGAATCACTCAGTACTTTGGGGTTTCACGGTATCGTCATGATGAAAGGATCAAATTACTAACTGACGCAAACGCCGTTTTGGAGTTCTTCAATGGTTATTTGAAGGTATGAAAAATGACACAATTCTAATTCACAAGAATCGCGTTGCAATAAGCGCGGGGAATTGTCCAACGTTCATTTAAACAAGAGCATACGGAAAAACCAACTGCTAATGACTGATTCTGAATAGAAGAGTATCGTGGCGCTATGTTCGACCCGCATGTTACTACCGCTGCGTCAGAACTACATCTGATGACATGCATGGCCCCGAAATGCACTACACTGAAGACGCAAAATATACACGAAGACGGTTTTACCTGACTTCGTTGGAGGAAGAACGATTGGATTTTGTCAAGTGTGGGAGTTATTGAGTTCGAATTTGCATTAACCTTGCTTTATGTCACCGCACAGTTATTCTAGATCATTCACACGAACTCGAGGAAGGACTGGACTCACTTTGAGCTCTTATTAGGAATGGGCGAGATGGCTCGGTGGTTAGAGCGCAAATTTACTGACCGGAGAGTCCGCGGTTCGAACCGGACCGCTGCCTCTCGACTTCCTTTGTCTAGGCTTGGGTAACCTGGCAGTATCCCGGCTCTCGTGCTCACTTCGAGTGTTGTGGTATCTAGGCACCGAAGGGATGTTACAGCTGAACGATGGCTGACGTTATTGTCCTATTAAGGCTCGTATCTGAACTGTGGATCAGCGTTCTGCCGCTGATCCGCCGGCATATTGAAGACCCACCAGAATAATTTCATCCGAACGGGCAGTTCTCTTTATGATCAAGGGATGCAAACAGTCTCCTAGTCCAATCTCATGTAGAAGCATCCAGCGGAAACTCACAAACCATTTGTAGTATACCTTGATTGTCAATTATCGTGAGCGAAGATCCTGATGTGATCAAGATGATATTCTGATGAGGTGCTCAAGTAGGAGAAGTTATAATAATGATATTCATTTAGAGACGGAACGACCATGTGAACTGGAATCACGCAAACACACTCTAAAAATACTAAGTTAAAGGTCAACGTATGTATGAGAACCTTCCACATCTCGGGGCATAGTGAGTCTGAGTGTTCGGTGAATATTGGTTCTCCAATTGATGGGCACTTACTGGATGGATGGACTGCTGTATCCATTTTCCATATTTCACAGAGCGGCACCTAAGAAAATGTCATTTAGCACCGCAGAGTCGCAAACAACTAATTTGTTTTGACCGTACCGCACAGACTTTATTTATGCAGGGCTTAAAATGACTTCGACTACCAAAGGGCAAC